TGTATTGGATGGTTTGAGGCAAGCCTTGCTTCAACTCAAAAATTATTTGCTGATACGAGTGGCGGTCTGATACTGGATAGTCCCTAATTGTAGACTGGTCTGGAATAATCACCCAATGCTCTACCAGGTCTGGGTGGCATATTTTCGAACTTGTCTTCAACTAGGGGTCGATTTAGATTGAATCTTCGACCCCCATCATCTTTGATAGTCTCCTTAGCAGCTCTAAGGGCTGCCTCAGCTTCTATCCGATACAGCTTCTTCTCTATGTTGTGCTGCCTCTCTTGTAGCTAAGTCTACTCCATCAATCTCTTTGTTTTTCATTTTATCTTGAGTCAAAGTATGACCCAAGAAATTTTGTGACTACTCTTTCTTTTCTTAGCTGTCGCGGTTGTTTCTCCAACTCCGGTTCGTAAGGTATCACTTCCTTTAAAGAAAATCGAGTCATACACCAGAGAAGTTAGACATGTATCCTATACACGGAAGAGAAAATCGTGAAGAATAAAATAAAATTGGTTCCTGAATTAGCACCAAAAACTATTTTGAGCACTATTGATTGCCAATCCCCAGCGACAGCGCCAAAATTTGACGAGCGCAAACTATAGCACAAAATTGATGCTCGCTAGTCAAAGATAATATAGTTTAATTATCGTCTTAACATGGATTGGATTCAAATAATGTTCAAGTAATTTCTATCTTAGCACTATTCAGATAATTAACACTTTTGTTGAGATGACTCATAACTAAAATTAACTATGAAAACTAAAACAAGTAACAGTTGATCACAGAAAGACAAGAGTTGAGCAACACCAAAATAATCAATGGGATAAATAAGGGTTGTGACGGGATAGGTGCAAGATAGTTATTTGCGATCCAACTCTAGTTCAATTCACTCTAATGTTCTAATGATTCTCACGAGTTCATTCGATGATTAGTTCAAACGTGTAGCCAAGACTCCTCTCTCGATTAAATCTTAACTTTACGAGGCGAAATAATATAAGCACTGCGAAAATATGCAAGCACGCATTAATGGATTAATCTTCCGGAAAAACGTCTTTCGAATATTCTCCAAACTTGATTTAATCAACAATTCAACAAGCTCTTTTGATTACTTAAAAGTATCGTTGAATTAAACCAAATAAAATAATGCAAAGGTAATCACAAAAATATTCCTCTTTCGATTAAATAAATCGGTGAATAAAATTGTAACAATTCAAAGCTCCATAAACGAATTCAAGCAAAGAACTAAAGTTAAAATTCACGAATATCAATCAAAACAACATATCCATCAAACACTAAGAGAAACTACTCCATATTCATGGAGAAATCATCACAAATAAAGTTGAATAATAAGAAAACATGAATTCAGTCCAAGCTCGGGTGTTAAGTTGAGGAAAGAATGATGAATCCTTGTGCTTTGAGTTTCCAATGCTCTTCCTGTCATCTGTAGGTCAAAAGTCCCTTCAAAAATATATTTTTGGTGTATTTATACCATATAGGAGTGGGCCCGGATGAAACTACCCTTTTCAAGCCGAAATGGGAAAATACTCTGAGAAAATTGTACAGGCGCGCTGCCCCATTCGTTGTACCACACGTCGTGGTAGTTAGGAAGTTCAAAGAGCAATTTCTAATGAACATAGAAAAAACACACTACCACGTCTGTATATTTTACTGAGTAATTTGTTTTCGTTATTTTTTTATATCCAGATTTGGCTCCCGACCCTTGAACGTGATTCTGACTTAATTTCTTAGGCTTTTACTCAAACGTCAAAGCTCCAACTTGTTCAATTTAGCTCCAAATTATCTTAATAGCTTGAAATCATTTTCTGCAAGGCATAAAATACGTAATAAGCATAAATCACAATTATTTAAGTTCAACCACAATTAAAATATAGTAATTAGAGTGCAAACTATGATCAAAGTACGGGTCTCTAGCCTACCATCAGGGAGGCCGTGTGAGTCACCTCCTTATCTTGGGAGCCATACTCTTTGTTGATGGCACTCATGAGGTTGAGTGAGATGTTGTCCGTCGCCTTCGTTCCCCTTTCTTGGTTACCTGCCATGGAGTTTTTTTTGTATACATAGAAAAAAATAGATAATCCTTGCGGTTTGTTAGATTAACAGGTCACGTGAGTTATAGATCTAATGGAAACTAAAAAATTGGCTGTGAAATCCCCACAGACGGCTCCAAACTGTATGACCCAAAATTTAGATCTTGATTTATACAATCAAATTTATTATGAAATAGGGTTAAATTTAGCCAATATTAATGTCCAAAAGATAGACCACGTGTATTTATTGAATATTTCCCACGTGTATTGTTGATTAAGAATAAATGATAGCAATAACGGTGCAATGATCAATTCAAGAATATGGAGGATAGCACTAAATAATAAATGGAATTTAAGTAAATAAATGGATAGAAGTCACCTGACAAAAGGTGAGATTATCCAACAATTCTTCTGACAATGATGGATAATGATAAGTCTTTCGATATTCGGACCCTTTTAAGATCGGAAAAAAAAGGTAGATCAAAATGTAAAAAGGTGAGCTTTGTATGTATATGTTATAGGAAAAATCTTTAGAGAATGGCAATGTGCTGTTTTTTACAATGATGTCAAATCCCACTCTATAACTACATATCTTTCTATTGATAAGGGTACATGAGTCACAAAACCCTAAATAGTACAATTGGGAGGAATATGCGTTGGAATATTCTCTGGAAACCGTAATCCTAGAATTAGCCGTTACTGTTTTAATAAAAGGAGTGTTCGACCTCATCCTCATTCTCTGTTGAGTCACTTCGACCTCATCGACGATGCATTGTCTTCTCGTGACATCGACTTTTTGAGGCTATAGGTCATTATACCCTATTGACGACACGTGGCAGCCTTCAAAGGCTTCCTTGATGTCGACTTGGTCCACATATACTCATGGTAGTTTCTATCCATACACCACCTACCTATGCTCGTACAAACCTCTCTTGTTACTATGGCCCCCGGGGTTGGAGAAACACATGAAAATATTGGGGGAACCATAGAATTGCTAACTATAATTTCAGTTGAGCAAATACATGTTTAAAGTTTAAATTCTATGGGTTCAATCTTTAATATTTTTAACATTGAATCCATATCTTAACTTAAAATAAATAAAATAATAATAAAAAAAGTATTGCAAAGAAAAGATAGAGAATTCTATTGATTTTTTTAGATGAATTACAGTTGGATAAAATCCCTCTATTTATAGGGAAAAGCCCACTTAGTCACAAAGTAACAAACTCTCTAAAAGAAAGACATTTACCTTAAATACAATTCTATTTATAACATAACTATTAATTTTTGCAATTTCACCAAATTTTAATACTTTCGCGTCAAAGTACTAGGTTCAGTTAAACCCGGTACTACCACTCTACATCCGCCTTCATGGAGGCACTAAGACACCACCATGATCGGAGGTAAACAAATATGGAGAATCTAATAATCGTGGACTTGAAACCTAAATTTTTGCGTAAGTTTAGGTTTGACTATATTTCTATTACTTGTTTTGGAAGTTTTGAAATTTAATTGTACAAACTTTTGGATTGTAAACCCAAAATGTAAGTAACCGATATTCATGTTCATGGTTGTAACTTTTATAAAGGAAAAGCTGTTGGCATTGCTCTAAGCGAAGTTTTAAGATTCTTTTATTAACTTGTGTTCTTTTGAATATTCCTCACTTTATTTTATTTATGAGTTTGTGGTTGTCCTTTTTTTTTCTTTTGGTCATAAGTGAATGACTCTTTGTGCATGTACCTACCTCGGTATGTATATAATTTTTTTAAAATCGAATAAAAATAATATGCTTTCATTATAAAATCTATTTTTTTTAAAAAAAATATAAGTTACTGAAAATAATAAATGTTGATCATATTTAGCTTGCTCAATAAATGAAAAATATCACTTTAATTTTTGGTGTTTCTACCAGCTATCGGAGTTATTTAATTGACTTTTTTTTTCTCCTTCTATCTCTCTATCTCTTCGATAATTTTAATTATTTTTTGTTATTTGTTCTGATTATTGAGTGTTATTTTAAAATACGTACAAAAAATCCATGAAGAGGATAATTCTGTTTGAGTAAAAAATTAAAAGAGTTTAAAGTAATATTAAATGGATTATAGTCATGCTATGAGGAAAAAAAATATGGTCATTGTTGTATTTTTCAAATAAGAAAATATTTCATATACGGTAAAATCTTGAGTGCTTTTAAAATCTAAAATATCATGACTTCCAATATAGTTTAAAGAAGGAAGTGTTGAGATTAGATGACGACGTTTGGGCTGTTGGTGTTGCTTTCTTTGTATTTAGGCCTGGCCCAGTTTATTTTATTTATTCATTTATGAATAGGTTAGTCAAGAGGCCCAATGTATATATATGGGACCATATACGAAAGTTTCTGGATTTTGGAATTTTGGTTCACTTTACAGAAATATGAAATACTTTCTCTCCAATTTCCTTTCTTCTCTCAAGCCCTAGCTACAATTTTATCAATCTCTCTTTCAATTTTGAATGTTAACATGGTATCAGAGCGGGGAATCCGATGAATCTCGTCATTCTCTATCTAGCGATGTTACCCTCATTTGTTTTCGTTGAGTTTTTCCTCCTCGTCGGAGATTTCGGATTTCGTCGGAAATTCACGATTTCTTCGATTTCTATCGGAATTTTTAGAAGATTTTGTGTGGATTTCTTCTCCTCTGCTGCCCGAGTTTTGCTTTCGAGATTAAAGTTTTGGTATTCACTCATTTTCTTCATCTCGATTTCACCGGAGCTAAAGTCGATTGCGTCTCAATTTCACCCGAGCTAAAGTTGATTTCTGCTAAATTTTATTACCAAGGCCTTTGCTTCTTCAGGCTGCGAAGAAGTCTGGTACATCATTCTCTGCCTAACTTGTTGCATGCATAGTTGTGTGTGTTGCTGTGTTGTTGGCGGTGTAGATTTTCATTCTTCTTGATCAATTTACTTGCTACAATGGTTAATTCTGTTCCTGAAACATCTTCGTCCACTACGTATACTCCTGAGCCTTCTAGCCCGTTGTTTCTTCTCCCTTCTGATGTCCCCGGCATTTCCGTTGTTCCTGTGCCATTCTCGAGGACTGGTTTTGGAAGATGGAGACGTAGTATGATCGTGTCGTTATCTGCAAGAAATAAAATAGGGTTCATAGATGGGTCTTGTGTTAAACCTGCCGAGAATTCTCCTCAATTTAAGCAGTGGGATAGGTGCAATAATATGGTTATATCATGGTTAACTAGTTCATTATCACCGGATATAGCTGAGAGTGTGCAGTATTTCGAGACTGCTGAAAGTATCTGGTTGCAATTGAATAATAGGTATGGGAGTGTTAATAGAACCAAAGTTTTTGAAATAAAGAGAGAACTTGCTTCTACTTTCCAAGGGACTCTCGATATTGCTTCATATTTCAACAAACTTAAAAAACTATGGGATGAATTGGGGATTATGTGCAGTAGTCATGCAAATTCTTGTGTTTGTGCTGCTAAGGTGGGTCTCCAAAAGGAGAAGGAAGAGGATAAGGTCGACCAATTTCTCATGGGTCTCAAAGAGGTCTACATAGGGGTTAGAAGCAACATTTTGATGATGCAGCCAGTTCCATCTCTTGATACTGTCTATAACATTCTGTTGCAAGATGAAAAACAAAGACAGGTTATCCCCAACACTCAGTTCAACTCAGAATCAGCTTCTTTTAATGCAAATTTCAACAAGCCTTCCCCTCAATTTCCACCTCAAAAACAGTATACACAAAGAGTCAATTTTGATCCATATGGCCAGAAGGTGAATTCTGATCAAACCAAGGTTTCTTTGTCTTGCAAGTATTGTAAAAAACCTGGTCACACAATTGAAAAATGTTACAAATTACATGGATTTCCTCCAAATTTCAAATTTACAAAGGGGCAGACTAAAAGATTTGGTACTGCTGCAAGTGTTGAGGGAAAGTCTTCTGGTATCTCTGAATCTACTTCATCATGTTCTTCACCCGGGCAAGATTCTTTGATTCCTGGCCTCACCAAGGAGCAGTACTCTCAGTTGATGAACCTACTCCAACAGTCTACACTGGGTGAATCTAGTTCTCAGCCACTTCTCATGGGCTCTGCCAATTTTGCTGGTATTAATTCCTCTTCTCCTGTGTGTTTGAATGGTAGTTATGTTGTGCGCATGTTAACTAGTGTAGCTGGAAGGGTGTGGATAGTGGATTCTAGAGCAACTGACCATATGACTTCTAACAAAAATCTTCTCTTTAACATCATACCTCTTCCTGTCCCCTATCTAGTTTCTTTGCCTAATGGTTACAAAGTTAAAGTTACCTGCACAGGCTCTTTGACTTTGTTGCCATCTTTTACCCTTCATCATGTCTTGTACATTCCTACTTTCCATTATAATTTGATTTCTGTGAGCAAATTGATTATTCAGTTCAATTGTAATGTACTGTTCACTTCCCTCTCATGTATACTTCTACAGGCCCATTCTATGAAGAAGCTTCTGGAGCTTGGTAGAATGGACCAAGGACTATACAAGCTCTACCTTAATCATTTTGCTCCTCCTGAACTCTCTAATTCTGTTGTTCCTGATATTAGTAATTCTGTTTCTGCTTCTAATAATGTAGTACAAAATGCTGATTTTTCATTGTATGCAAATCGGCCAGTTATGAATTCAAACTTTGTTGCTCCTTTATCATCTTGTACTGTTCAGCAAATTGTGAATAAAAATGATGTTCTTTGGCATCATAGATTAGGACATGTTCCTTTTGTGCAAATGAAAAATATACCTTGTATTTCTAATGACCTGTCAGCTAAACAGTCTTTTACATGTCCTATTTGTCCCTTGGCTAGACAACCTAGGTTACCATTCCCAGATAGTTCTTCTCAGTCTACTTCATTGTTTCAACTTATTCATGTTGATACTTGGGGACCTTACCACACTCAAACATATTCCGGTGCTAAGTACTTTATTACCATAGTTGATGACTATAGCAAAGCAACATAGACACATTTATTGCACTCTAAAAGCTATGCATTTTCTGTGCTTAAAGCATTTATAATCATGGTGAAAACTCAATTTCAACTTTCTGTCCAAAAGATTAGAAGTGATAATGCTTTAGAGCTTGGATCTTCTACATCAGCCACTCAATTCTTCTCTGATAATGAGATAATTCATCAAACCACTTGTCCACACACACCACAACAGAATGGTGTGGTTGAGAGAAAACATAGACACCTACTTGAAACTTCAAGAGCTCTTCTATTTCAATCAATCTTCCTATAAAATTTTGGGGAGATTGTGTATTGACAGCAACTTACCTTATTAATAGGTTTCCATCTTCAATTTTATCCAAAAGAACCCCCTTTGAATTACTCTATGGCCATCCTCCTTCTTATTCTCATTTAAGGCATTTTGGTTGTCTGTGTTATGCTACAGTCCCCAAGTGTCACAGGGATAAGTTTCACCCTAGAGTTCCTTGTGTGTTTATTGGGTATCCTTTTGCCAAAAAGGGGTACAAGTTATACAATTTGCAAACTAAGTCTCTCTTGTTTTCAAGAGATGTTGTGTTTCGTGAATCTGTGTTTCCTTATAAGATTCCCTCTTCTGCTCCTACTCCTTCTTCTTCTCCTTCTCCTTTTCTCCCTTTGTTCTATGATATTTCTCCCTCTGTTCCTATCCCTCCTTCTGCTACCCCCTCATCTTCTGATGATTCTATGCCCTCTTCTTCATCACCTGATGATGTCTTACCCCCTCCTTCTGAACTTAGGAAAAGCACCAGATCCCATCATCTTCCTTCCCATCTGTCTGACTATGTTGTTAACCTTCCTCCTTCTATTTCTTTCTCCTCCACTAGCTCTTCTTCCACTACACAGCCTGTTCCAGTAGAGCCTTGTTCATACACTCAGGCTGCTGCTATTCCTGTTTGGCAAGAGGCAATGAGACAGGAATTTGCAGCTTTAGAGGCAAATCAAACTTGGAAAATTGTTGAACTTCCTCTTGGTAAGAAGCCCATAGGCAGTAAGTGGGTTTATAAAATAAAATATTAAGCTGATGGTAGTGTCACGATTGGTGGTTCGAGGTGACACTCAAGTAGAGGGGATTGATTTTAATAAAACTTTTTCTCCTGTGGTTAAAATGTGTACTGTCAGATGTTTGGTTGCTATTGCAGTTAAAAGACAGTGGCCTTTGTTTCAGTTAGATGTTAATAACGTTTTTTTACATGGGGACTTAGATGAGGAAGTTTATATGAAGCTTCCCCAGGGCCTTTCTATTGATTCCTCCTCCTCTGGATCTGCTCCTTTAGTTTGCAAGCTGCAAAAATCTCTTTATGGGCTAAGACAGGCTTCTCGACAGTCGTATGCAAAGCTGTCTCATTGTTCCAGGGGCTACTCCTACTCTTTAAATGACTATTCTTTGTTTGTTAAGCGAACTGAATCTTCCTCTGTTTTTCTAGCAGTTTATGTTGATGACATTGTATTAACTGGGGATGATTTATCTGAAAATTTTGCTCTTAAGAGTTTTCTTGATGTTCAGTTTAAGATCAAATATTTAGGTTTGCTTAACTATTTTTTGGGTATTGAAGTTTTCTGTCACAAGTCTGGGGTCCTTTTGCATCAAAAGAAGTTTATTTCTGATTTGCTCCTTGAGTTTAATTGTCTTGATGCTTCTGAGGTGGTTAGTCCTTTGGATATTGCTCAAAAATTGCATTCTGATGTTGGTGAGCTATTGCCTAAGCCTGAATCTTACAGAAGTTTGGTTGGCAAGCTCAATTTTTTGACTCATACTCGGTCAGATTTATGTTTTGCTGTCCAGCATTTGAGCCAGTTTTTAAAGACTCCTCGTGTCCCCCATATGGTTGCTGCTTTGCATGTTTTGCGATACTTAAAAGGGACTTCTGATTTTGGGGTGTTTCTCAGTAATTCTCCTGATTTCTCTCTGCTTGCTAGTTGTGATAGTGATTGGGCTACTTGTCATGAATCTAGACGTTCTGTCACTGGTTTCTGCATTCATTTGGGTGGTAGTCTCCTTAGTTGGAAGTCTAAAAAGCAAAATATAGTCTCTTTGTCTTCAGCTGAAGCAGAATATAGGGCTATGAGTAAAGTGGTGGCTGAACTAGCCTGGTTGGTTCGCTTATTATCTGATTTGGGTCTTTCTATTGATGCTCCAATACCTATTTTGTGCGATAGCAGGCTGCTATTCACATTGCTAAGAATCCGGTGTTTCACGAGCGCACTAAACACATCGAAGTCGATTGTCATTTTATTCGCACCAAATTAGCTGATGGTCTCATCTCTTTATCTCATGTTCCTACTTCTTCTCAACTGGCTGACATTTTTACTAAGCCTTTGACAGGTTTGCAGCATCGCACTTTATCCAGCAAGTTGGGTGTGTGCCCACCCTCCAACTTGAGGGGGGTGTTGGGATTACATGATGACGTTTGGGCTGTTGGTGTTGCTTTCTTTGTATTTGGGCCTGGCCCAGTTTATTTTATTTATTCATTTATGAATAGGTTAGTCAAGAGGCCCAATGTATATATATGGGACCATATACGGAAGTTTCTGGATTCTGGGATTTTGGTTCACTTTACAGAAATATGAAATACTTTCTCTTCAATTTCCTTTCTTCTCTCAAGCCCTAGCTACAATTTTATCAATCTCTCTTTCAATTTTGAATGTTAACAGGAAGAATCAAAATGTTAAAAATTGATGAGTATTTCACTTACGAATCTTAATTTTTTTTTCGCTGGCCAAATAGGGGTTAGGTGAAATTGGGAGTAATATCAGAATGAGACACTTGTATAACGGTTTTGGACTTAGCTTTATCACGAGCTACTGTTACTGTAGCTGCTGCTACTGCTACTGCTACAGCTGTTGTTGCTGTTGTTGTTGCTCCTGCTGCTAATGCTACTACTACTAATACTGATGTTGCTGCTACTACTACTACTGCTACTAACTACTATTAGTACTACTGCTATTGCTACAACTACTACTGTTATTGCTACTGCTATTGCTATTGTTATTGCTACTGCTGCTGCTCCTACTGCTACTGCGGTAGGGGTAGGCATCGGTCGGTTCGGTTCGGTTGTGAATGTTATCGGTTTAGCATATCGATTATCGGTTTATAAATATACTAAACCGATAACCGAACCGATAATATATCGGTTTTCGATTATCAGTTAATCGGTTATCGATCGTTATCGGTTATCGGTTTACCCGATAAGATAACTCAATCTCGATTCTATTAGAAGAAGTAATGAAAGATAATGTGTATTCTATAAAGAATATGATAAACTTTTTCGATTGTTGTAACCCTCTCAACGAATATAATAAACCTTGCAACATAATTTACCCATCCAACTTACACTCAAATCCCTGTTACACACCTGTTGACCACGGGTATAACTTTACACACCAAACCTTTCAAATGTGTGTCAACTACACACTACTTTTGACCAGCCTCTGGGACGTGTGAAACACAACCAATGCAGCGCGTGAAAAGTTATTTTCTGCCTCACCTGACAAATTACAACGGCTAATTAGTAGAATTGGGCCGATTTTCTTAACCCTAACGCCCAATTCTTCTTCTCCTTCTTATTAAAAACAACCATTTTCATCTTCTTCATATTAAAAGGAACCAATTTCAGAAAAATCCAACCCCATCTTCACCTTCCACATCTAATATTTTGAAGCTGGTTATATTTGTTCAATTAAAGTGCAATACAATATTATTCTTCTGTCAATTCTCGTATTAGGGTTCATATTGAATGGAGAATTCGGGTCCATTTTGTCGATGTGGAGATGCTGCTGAACTAGTAATTTCATGGAGCACAGACAGCCCTGGTCGTCGATTCTACGGCTGTAAAAATTACAAGGTAACCTTAGATTGTTATAATCGTTATTTCAAGATTTTATAAGCTTCATCTCAAATTGTTTATGGATTTGTAGAAAGATAAGAAAACTGGCTGTAAGTATTTCGCGTGGTTTGACCCCCCGACTCATGAACACTTGAAGCCGGTGATTTTGGGTTTGCTTAAGAAGAAGAATCAGCTTGAAGGGCATTTGCAGGAATCCAAAAAACAGAGGAACTGGAGGAGAATTTTTTTTCTGATTTTAGGATTAATCTTCATTAAGGCCATTGTATTTGGTACTCCTGACGAAATACCCAAATAAACCCTAACTATTTCGACCCCAACCATCTAAATCAAAACGGTTGAACAACCTAAAATGAGAATACTAACGTGAAAATGAAGAAAGTAACAACAATAAAGAGCAGTTGTGCTCTCGTCGGATTCGCTTTAAAGGTTAGTGCTGAAGAACAGGGATTTGAAAGTGGAATTATGTTTGTTAATCTGGTCGCGTAGTTATTTTTAATTAATAGGGTCGGATCTTTTTTTGGGTCGGAATTAAGAAAAGGGTCGTTTTGTCCATTTTAATTAAAGAATCGTTTGTTTTTTTAATTTAAATAAGCGTGTGTATACACAACATTCAATATTAACCGGGCTGGTCAAAAGTAGTGTGTAATTGACACACATTTGAAAGATTTGGTGTGTAAAGTTATACCCGTGGTCAACAGGCGTGTAACAGGGATTTGAGTGTAAGTTGGATGGGTAAATTATGTATTTCGCCTTGTTTCTCTATGTGTTCAATGACAAATTTGGGAGGGTTAGAACAGTAAATAGAGAATTGGAAAATTTATATACCTAAGGGTAAAACCATATTTTTATAAAGTTTATTGGGTCATCGGTTAAACCGTTAAAAAGTTGGGCAAACCGAGACCCGAACCGATAACTCAATAGTAAAATAACACTATATCGTTATCGAACCGTTAATCCAATAACCCGATACCGATAACCCAATAAGCTTTTTTCGGTTCGGGTTATCGGTTTTACCCGATATATGCCCAGCCCTATACTGCGGCTACTGCTACTACTGCTACTGCTCCTATCCCTACTCGTACTGTTGCTGTTGTTGTTGCTCCTGCTGATGCTGCTATTGCTGCTGCTACTACTACTATTGTTGCTGCTACTGCTGCTGCTGCTACTACTACTACTACTACTACTATTGCTGTTATTGCCGCTGCTACTACTACTACTGCTATTGCTATTGCTATTGCTACTACTGCTATTGCTGCTCCTACTGCTGCTACTGTCACTGCTACTACTAATTTTAAAGTTTATTTCAACATTTTATTTAACCTTTAAATTTTATAATTTTAAAGTTTTGTATTTTTATGCTAATTTTGTTTTAATTATATGGCAGAGATCAAATAAGCGCCTATATCAAGTGTACCATACGAGGTTCTTAAATTATGTTTCCAAATATTACGTAATTTTAGGATTTCCTATATATTTCAAATATGAAAAAATAGTAATTACAATTTTAGTTGTTTTTTACTTTCAATGTCCTAAATATTAGAAAAAATTATAAAATAATATTATTGTATCCAGTGTAAACTTTATCTTTAAAGGGTAAAATGACGAATGATATTTTACTAAGTGCCTTCATGTTTTTAATATATTATACATAGATGGATAGATAAGTGAATGACTCACAAAACGTTGTAAATTATAGACACTTTATTTGAAAATACGAGATTGGTTACATGTTGGACGACTTTCTAGTGACTATAATAGAGGTTTACACTGTTTTTTGTAAAATTACTGAATTAATCCTTATATTTGTAAACAACTATCATAAGTTGTCTAATGTTTAGAACACACTAGGTGTAATTATGAGTGGTAAACGGGTGGGTCGGGTCGAATATGGTCCGGATCGAAAACGGGTGGAAAAACGGATAAATTATCCGATCACACCCGTATTTAATACGGATAAAAGCAGGCTAACCAACGGATAATATGGCTAACCATATTATTATCCATGACTTCTTGAATATGATAACTTTTGGGAGAATTCCTAGTCTCCTGAACTTGAGGAACCCCCAATTTGATGCTTTACAAATGTAAAATTAAATTCATTGGTTATCAACTGGTTATCCATTTTCTAAATGGATAATATGGTTCTTATGCATATTTTGACCAATTTTTAAAATGTTTATTATCTAACTATTTTTAATAAATAATATGAATGGTTAACTATTTTTTTAAATATTTTGACACTACTAGGTGTAATCACAATTAAAATCCGATCGTAGTGTACTTTACTCTATATTTAATGTGATAAACGCTTCTTTTGCAATAGATCTTTCTTAGGACAATGTGAAAGGAAATCCGAATCTCTTCATGATCTAGATAAAAAAATAGAATATATCTCTTTTGCCACATTGAAGTGGTTCTTCTTTATTCCTTATACTTTGTCAAGTAGTGCTACTTGCCATATATTTCCATAGTACGCAAAAACTTTTTTTAATTTAATTTGCTTATTGTTTTTCATAAAAAAATTGGGACAAATCTTTGACTACACGAAAAGTTAGACTCGTTAATCGCGTTTGCGCCTTTTTAATTAACGCGGGGAATCTGTTAAACCGGCGGAACTAAAATCCCTAAGTGAGGCACACAAGATATTATACTCCTACCAAGTAGTAGTATTTATTGGGGGAGAATCTGAAGTGACAAAAAATGGCGATGGCGGGTTTGTACCGGCGAGTTCTTCCGTCCCCTCCGGCTGTTGATTTCTCTTCTACTGAAGGAAAGGCAAGTTTTAGTGCTACTCTTCCTTTCTTCCCTTTGAACTGATAGTTGAAGACTAGGGTTTTAGCCGTCTTTGTTTGTTGTTCTGTTCTATTTTGTCACGGATGAATATGGATTATATCATAATGTTTTAACTCTCTGATTACTAGCTGGTACCAATTTGTTAATTAGTTTGGACTTCTGATACGCAACAGAATTTCTGGAAGTCGAAAAAGAAGGCACACCTAAAGAGTAACGAGATGAACTACTCTTGAACAGTGATTCCAAGAGCTTAAAAGAGCTCAGTTGAATTGAGAGAATAGAGAACAGAGTGTTATTGATCTTCACACAAAATAGTTGATTAAAGAGAAGGGATTTTGTGAGCTATATAGATGAATCCATGTGATGTACAATTAGTTAGTTATAACTAACTTTTGGAAATCACATGACTCACACGTGCTTTCTAACCGCCTTCACTAACGACTTAAGCTACTAAGTCAGCTACTGACTCAACTACTAACTCAACTACTAACTCAACTACTAACTATGATTATTCCCTAACTATAGTTATTACATTCAGATACGTATCAATACCCCCTCTTTGGACAATCCTTGTCCTCAAGGATTAAAAAATGGAAATTTGAGCTTGAAATCTTGCAGATCCTCCCAAGTACTGTCCTCTGGTGCAACATTCATCCATTTGACAAGGACTTGTGCTATTGCCTTGCCATGCTTCTTGGCCAGCCTTCTATCCAATATTGCTTCAGGTTCTAATAGGACATGCCCTGAGTCAGAATGGACCACAGGTAATGTCACAAAAGCAGTGTGAGCCCCTAACTTCTTCTTGAGCAGAGAAATATGGAAGGTTGGGTGAATCTTTGAGTGTGGTGGTAGAGCTAGAGTATAGGCCACTTGTCCTACCTTGGCAATGATTTGGAAAGGCCCAAAGAACTTAGCAGATAATTTCTGGTAGGAATGGTTCTTTAAGGAGAGTTGTCTGTAGGGTTGTAACTTGATGAAGACCCAATCACCTACTACATAACTCCTATCAATTCTGCCCTTGTCTGCTTGCACTTTCATCCTGTGTTGAGCTTTCTCCAAGTAAGTCTTTAAAGCCCTTAATGTTGCTTCTCTTGCCTGTAAGCTCCTATCTATCACATCCAACTGGGAATCAAAGGGCTGGTAAGGAAGTAGAGGAGGTGGTTTCTGACCATAAACAGCTTCATATGGGGTCATATTGGTGGCTGAGTGAAAGGTGGTGTTGTACCACCATTCTGCAAGGGACAACCAATGTGGCCATTCCTTTGGTTTATCAAAGGCATGCATCTCAAGTAGCATTCCAAACACCGATTGACAACTTCAATTTGGCCATCTGTTTGAGGATGGTAGGCAGAAGAAGTCAGGAGTGAGACTTTTTGTAACTTGAACAGTTCTTGCCAAAATCTGCTAGTGAATACCTTGTCCCTGTCAGACACAATAGTTCCGGGCATTCAATACTCCCTCCATGAAAATTTGAGCCACTTATAAGGCTGTGTAAGGATGTTTGAGGGCCATAAGATGAGCAGCCTTACTGAGTCTGTCTACCACTACAAAAATGACCTCTTTACCTGCAACTTTAGGCAATCCTTCTATGAAATCCATAGAGATATCTTGCCAAACTCCCGCAGGAATAGGTAAAGGTTGCATAGCCTTGGGTAAGCCACATTCTCTCCCTTGCACCTTTGACATACATCACATTCCCTTACATAGTGATACACATCCTGCTTCATCTTTTCCAGTAGAAATACTGCTTTAATCTGTTGAGGGTAGCTGTGATACCAGAGTGTCCTCCAATAGCATTGTCATGATAGAATGACAATAATTTTTTCCTCACCTCAGGATCTGCACCTACCAGCATTCTGCCTTTCCTGCTAAGTATGCCACCTTGAAACATGTAGTGAGGTTTATAGCAGTTACTAGATTGTAGCCCTTGAATTAGCTTTTGGAGTGCTGGATCTTGTGTCCAGCTGTGCTTAACTGCTTCCAAAAGTTCAGAGGAGACCCCAAAAATGCTGAATAGTTCAATTGGATCCTCCTTCCTTGAAAGAGCATCAACTGCAATGTTGCCCTTACCCTTTTTGTAAGATATGGTGTAATCATAACCTAACAGTTTGATTAACCACTTTTGTTGACTAGGAGTGGTGATTTTCTATTCAAGTAGATATTTGAGGCTAGGATGGTCAGTCTTGATTACAAAGTGTCTTCTCAGTAGGTAGGGTCTCCATTTTTGAAGTGCAGTAACCAATGCTAGCAGCTCCCTCTCATAGGTTGATAGTGCTTTGTTTTTCTCTGACAAACCTTTGCTGAAAAAGGCTATAGGCCTGCTATCTTGAGCTAACACTGCTCCAATGCCAGAACCAGAAACATCAGTTTCCACTACAAATTCCTAGTTGAAATCAGGTGCCAGAACAGGTGCTGTAGTGAGTGCCTTTTTCAAATCTTCAACTGCCTTAGTGGCAGCAGAGTTCCAGATGAAATTCCCTTGTTTCAGCAGATCATGTAAGGGCCTTGCAATAATACCATACCCCCTTATAAACCTTCTGTAGTACCCAGTGAGGCCTAAGAAACCCCTCAAGCTCTTTAGAGTAGTTGGTTGAGGCCAGTTCATCACTGCTTCTACCTTTTGATGATCCATAGCAACTCCTTCTTCAGAGATTACATGGCCTAAGTAATCTATTTGTTTTACACAAAGGCACACTTGCTCTTCTTGACATAGAGCACATGGGATCTCAATACTTGAAAAGCTTCCTCAAGATGAATTAGATGATCTGCCCAGCTAGCACTGTATATAAGAATATCATCAAAGAAAACCAAGACTGATTTTCTAAGGAAGTCATGAAATATCTGATTCATTAGGCTTTGGAATGTTGAAGGTGCATTGGTTAGGCCAAAGGGCATGACCATGAACTCATAGTGGCCACGGTGAGTTCTAAAAGCAGTTTTTGGAATGTCAGGCTCATACATCCTGATCTGGTGGTATCCAGACCTAAGGTCTAGCTTAGAGAAATACTTAACTCCATGTAGTTCATCTAATAGTTCTTCAATGACAGGGATTGGGAACTTGTCCTTTACTGTGCAATCATTCAATTCCCTGTAGTCCACACACATCCTCCAAGTGCCATATTTCTTTTTATCATTACAATTGGTGAAGAATAAGGACTGGTGCTATGTCTGTTACACCAGAGGCTAACATCTGATCCACCATCTTTCTCTATTTTATTCTTCTGAATGATTGGATACCTATAAGGCCTCTTGTTCACTTTGAGTCTTCAGTTGGGATTCCAAAGAGAACAAACTGACATCTCCTTCTACTGTTTCTTCTGTTAGAATGCCTAATGATATCATCCGTAGCTCTGCAGGTTTAGCTAACAACTTGTCCATCTTGCCAGATTGGATTAGTTTAGCAGCAGGAGGTTGGATACCCCTCAAGGATATCTTTTGGCCCATGATAGTGAACTCCATCTTGAGCTTTCTGAAGTTCCACATGATATCTCCAAGAGTGATTAACCATTGAATTCCTAACACCATGTTACACCCTCCAATGGGCAGCACTAACATATCTGAATCAAAGGAAACTCCCTGCATTTTCCATATCAATTTCTTGCACACATAGTGACTGTGTACCTTATTGCCATCGGCTACTGAAACCGCAAAGGGTGAGATGGCAGTCAAAGCACATCCCAATCTCTTAGCAGTGTTGAGATCCAAGAAATTGTGGGTGCTACCAATATCAATAAGTACATGTACTGCCTTTCCTTTAATAGAGACTGTTACTATCATGGTTCTAAAGTCATGAATACCATTCATAGCATGTACAGATACATGGGGTAGAATGGACCCTTCCTGATCAGTTTCTAAACCCTGTGCTATCATGGTTAATAATTCTGCAGGGTCCAACATCACTTCTTCCTCCAATTCTACTGGTTCAATACCCTCATCCACTTCCATGGAAAAGAATTGTCTTTTCTTCTTGCAGATGTGGCCTGGAGTGTACTTCTCATCACAGTTAAAACATAATCCTTTACTTCTCCTTTCCAGCATTTAAGGATGAGTTAAAAGTTTGGCATTTTTGTAGGGTGGTTTAGGATTAACAGGGTAAGGTTGTTGGTGTTTTGGAAAATTTTGGGCAGTGGTTTGTATGAGAGACTGGTTTGTTCCAAGGTGAGAAGAAGGTGATTTCATAGGGAAGTTTCTGGGATTATTTCTGGGTTTGGCAAAATAGGTGTTGAGAGGAAAATTTGTTTTTGATTTCTAAAGTTTGTTCCTGTATTCTTGCTAGGCTTATGGCTTTGGCCAAGGATCTAGGATTTAACATTTTAACAGGCAATCCAATTTCAGGTTTCAACCCCCTTATGAAACAACTAACAACATATTCATCTTGCAATTCTACTCTATTAAGCAATTCATCAAATAGATCAATGTATTCCTGAACAGTTGTTACCTGTCTTAGGTCCTTGAAATCCCCCATTGGATCGTCAAACAATTCTGCTCCAAATCTGGAATAGAGACACCCTACATACTCCCCCCAGCGAGGCCACTCCCTTGTAACTCTCGACTTCATGAATCCTTGATGCCATTGCAGAGCTCGACCTTCAAGTTTACAAGAAGCCAATTTCACTTTTGAATCTTCAGGAGTCTCGTCCACATCGAAGAACTGCTCACACTTATAGAGCCAATCCTTCAATCCAGTTCCATCGAACTTAGAGATGGCCACATCCACCTGGTAATTTCTAAAGGGAGGTTGATGATCGACAACTCTAGCCACTCGATCCTCTGCACGTCCTCACCCCTATCTGCTACTGGTCCATTCTGCGCATGATTATCCCCATTGCCTATCATCATCTTCTTAATTTCTTCTAACGCCCGGGCAAATTTTGCTTCCACTGAAGTAGTCAATTCTGCCACTGTATGAACTACAGAATCCAGAGAACCTTTAAGGTTATCAACATCTGCGTAACTGTGCCATTCGTGTATTGTGATCGCCCATTGTCGTTGCCAAGGAATCATAGCTCTAATACCAATGATACGCAATAGAATTTTTGGAAGTCGAAAAAGAAAGAACACCTAAAGAAACGAGATGAACTACTCTTGAACAGTGATTCCAAGAGCTTAAAAGAGCTCAGTTGAATAGGGAGAATAGAGAATAGAGAGTGTTATTGATCTTCACACAAAATAGCTGATTACAGAGAAGGGATTTTGTGAGCTATATAGATGAATCCACGTGATGTACAGTTAGTTAGTTATAACTAACTTCTGGAAATCACATGACTCACACGTGCTTTCTAACATCCTTCACTTACGACTTTAACTACTAACTCAGCTACTAACTCAACTACTAACTCGACTACTAACTCGACTACTAACTATGATTATTCCCTAACTATAGTTATTACATTCAGATACGTATCAACTTCATAGGCGGATTCAAAATTTTAAATCTGTTTGTGCTTTAGTATTTTGCCACAGTGGTTGCTAACTAATAAGTATATAGTTAATGAAAAATGCTATATCTGCGATTCAAGCTGAACGTAATTGATATAGTAGAGTCAGCAAGATCCAGGTGACCAAAGTGATCAACGGCTTGATCTGCTGGTCATCCTTAGGGATTGGCTTATATGATACATGTTAGATAATTGTTTATCGTAAATTGATTTAGACACCAATTCGCTGCTAATTGTCCAGACCCCATAACATATAGTAGTACCTGCTATTCAATTTGTCCTTGATGTTTCCCATAGTGAGAACTGTGGCCATGTCAGACTTAAAAAGAAAATGTGATAAAAGGAAATCAGGAATCTGTTTCTTTTTTACGTGAACTTTTAAATTTTGCTGTTCTTATGTTTTGTAGCTATTTTTGTGCTTTCCCCATTGGAAGCATCTGACTTTCATATATTTACCCCTTCACACTTCATTGTTTTGTTGAAATTTTGATGATGTACGATATTTTGTTTTGGCAATTAACTGTCGGTGTCTTTGTCTGTGCTTTTACATCTACACTTCTTTAGTCTTTACATCCCATTTCTTATGGTATGCCCTTGACTTCCAGATACTAAAATGCGTGATAATGTTCTAGTTTATTTGACTTGCTTACCCTGTTTACGATATCAATTCATCTTATTGGTTGGTTCGACTGTTAAGGTGTACAAGTTGATGTCTTCGTACAGCCAAATACAGATTTGCTTGAGTATCTTTTTTCTCCAGTTTGATGTTGTTTCATGAAATTAAAATGCTTTTTGTCATTAATATGAAGAGAATGAATGCAATTTTCTTTGGCTCTCTCTATACATAATCTTTATGCGTATCTTTTCACTAAAAATAGTTGTCGCATAAGATTTTGAGTTTCCATTGAAGTTGACCTTCAGAAAGGAATAGAGAAAAGGAGTTATATCAAAGTATCCAAGTAAACATACCCTTGACATCATTCAGATTTTTTTATGTCTATCACAGTTCCGCGAACACTCTTTATTTCCAAGAACTTAATAAGCTTTTAGTGCCATATTGCTACAGTGACATTTTCCCCTTCAACTTCTGCACTTGATTGAAGGATGACTTTTGCCTGCCATATGTAAAATGATATTAATACGAGATTAATGAGTTACTTTTTTCCCCTATAGGTCAAAGTGAGAAGAGCAGCATTCCTCATTTGCAGCCACAGCCTCATTGAGGCACATACCTTTGACTCCTTACAAACCCAGACAACCATATGCTCCTTAGTTCAATTCCATCTGCCTTAAGTTAAATTTTCTGTCTGACTAGCCATACTCAATTCAAAACAATTATTTATTAGTGTATCACATTGTAGCCTTATACCTCCAATGAATACTCAACATAATAATACTCTTTGGACGACTTTAATCTGCAGAGTTTTATCTATGCCCTCCCTTCAGATCACTTGTCTGGATCCTTGGATCTTCCCACCCTTTAAGTTATGTCATTATGGAAGTTGAATATTTTAATAGGGAGAGCTCTCAGTTATTACTGCAACCATTATCTTAAGGATCTGTATATTTATATGCTAGTCCTCAGGTTGCTTGCTCACTGATTGCCTGATTTTGATTATACTGGTTTATGATAGGTTTCCTAGCTGAAAAAAGGATAGCTGTCTCTTTCCTCACGATATTTCTCTAGGCTAATGTGGTATCGTATGGAGAACATTGTAGCTTCTCATAGACTGAGGAACTATAAGAAGAAAAGTGTGCTGGTTACCGTGTATTTCTGCAGTGTTTTGAATTTCATTGGAAAAATGCTATTTAGGGGCATCCTTAACTTCTTCGGAAAAGGTCAACTGACCCTTGCACAAACCTGGAATTTGAAGGTCTGTCCTACAGAGATACCTCAATGCCCGCCCGATCAAATACAAGCCATCCCTACGTTTATCTTGAAATGATACTATAAGATATCAAACTAAATCTTTTGTTCTATGAACTGAATGTTATATCAAAAACAAATTTCTTCTGTAAACATGAATTTGTTTTCATCAGCATAGACTGCTTTTTAATTAGCTAGACCTCAGCGAAAAAAGGAAATGCATGAAACAGGGTGGAGGGATGAGAAAAAGATACAATATCTGATACTATGTTCAGTCACTGTCCTTTTTGTACTGATTTTTAAGTTACTTTTTGGAGCTGCAGCAACTTTTTTTGGAGGCCATCCAGAATGGAACAATGGAAGGATTTTTCAAGTTGATCTCTTATTTTCAGACACAGTCTGAACCGGCCTATTGTGGGTTGGCTAGCCTTTCCATGGTCTTGAATGCCCTTGCTATTGATCCAGGAAGAAAATGGAAAGGTAACTCTGCTATCATCAAGTGAACCTGTGTTCCTATCTTTCCCGGCTATATCGATGATTTTGATCTTCACTTTTTCATGGCCTTTCCTTCTGAATTGTTAATAAGGTCTTGGGCTCTTTATAGGTTTATTTTATAATGAAGGTCTTTACATCTTTATTTTCCTATAATTTCGTGTATCCCTACCTGCCCATGTTAGTTATAAGGTGTAGCATGGAGATGTGTAGTTCAATTTTTTTATTGTTGAGATATCTCTCTGATAGGGACATAAGTTGATCCCTTGTCCCTGAGCTTTGTAAGTTGATCTGCTATGTTGTGATGCATGGGCATGAGTCTGATAGCATCTGTCCTCAACATGAATCCTAGCCACTGTTGCTGGACTCCAAAGATCTAAACAGCTGTAGGTGCAACTGAATATTTTTTCGTACCTCATTTATTGAAGGTGTTTAGTCTCTGGATAATTGTAAATCAAAGTTGCCCTTGTAGTGCAGTTCTGCGAACTTAAATTATAGCGACTTAACGCTGACTCCAGGAAAACACCTGAACCAAAATGGTAGGCTTTAACAGATTAGACCTCGGCAATATAATTCTGAAAACTCCTTAGAGTTAATCTCCGTGTCTGTATTTCGTTTCCATTTGCATTTAACAGAAAACAGTTCACCCATCTAGGAGCTGTTGCTCTGAGTTGCCTCATGCATATTATTTGTTGATGTCTATTTGTCCAAAATTCATGGTCACATGAGATAATTTTTATTGTCAGTTTCTGTTTCCAATTTACTTGATCTAGAAACATCTTAGATAAGATTTTATTTAAATGTTCACATCTTAAAAACTTGAAAACATTTTCTTTCCACCAATTAACTTATATGTTAGGGTCATAGCTTTGTCACCAATGCCTACTGATATTAAAGAGTCAGTTTGGTAAAGAAAGGAGCTTGGTGAGAACAGCTTTAACGTTCTTAGCTTTCATCATCTGAAAGTATTTGATTTTTACTCTTTCAAACTTGGTTATTCATATTCTTTTCATAATCTGCTTGTGTCAATGAGCTTGGATTCATACATAGCGTGGTACAATGTCACCACCTTTATCTAATAAGCTTCAACAAACTGTCAGGTCCTTGGAGATGGTTCGATGAATCTATGTTGGACTGTTGTGAGCCTTTGGAGAAGGTTAAAGCTAAAGGGATCTCTTTTGGGAAAGTGGTATGTTTGGCTCACTGTGCAGGAGCGAAGGTGGAAGCTTTTCGCTCTAATCATAGTACTATTGATGACTTCCGTAAACAAGTCATGGCCTGCACTACTAGTGATAATTGTCATCTGATCTCGTCATATCATAGAGGCCTTTTTAAACAGGTAAAAATAAACATAGCTTCTCTATGCCCATGCTTATGATTGTGAAGAAGTATATTGTTGTATCGGGAGTTTGACCACACAGGAATTTTATTTGGTAATATTGCTAATTGTTTATGTATGAAGGTATATTGTTCACCTTCCTCTTCCTGACTTATCCTGAATACTGGAACATCTCTTCTGAATCTTATGGCAGACAGGTTCGGGCCACTTTTCACCTATTGGTGGTTATCACGCGGGAAAGGATATGGCACTGATTCTAGATGTTGCGAGGTTTAAATACCCCCCTCACTGGGTTCCCCTCCCTCTCCTTTGGGAAGCCATGAACACAATTGATGAAGCAACAGGATTACTTAGGGGGTATGCACTTCCACTTAGCTGTGCTGTGATATGATATTGGTTTTCATAATGGCTATGAGCTGTTGCCCGTTAGCATGCTCTTTACCTTTGAACAGCATCTCGTTAATGCTTTTAATCTGTCACTGATAATATATAAGGATTTAGCCTAAGGAATATAAATATGTAGAAGAAGAAGTTTTACTATGTGTTTTGGCCTTCCTCTTATAATAAAGACTAAAATTAGAAATCAAATGCTGAACTCTTTTGGCACTGTTTCTGGTCTTCTTCAGATATAACTGTTAGTACTCTTCATTTGTTTTCTCTTCTTCTTCTCCTTCTGCTCAAATTCAGTGGTCCGTATAGATCCATCTCACGCTTGACATATTTTTATCATTCTGCAGCATGGATTTCAGTGACTAATGTGCAAAAACATAATTTCAGGTTTATGCTAATTTCTAAGCTTCACCGAGCTCCTGCACTGCTATATACCCTGGTAAGGTTTAAGTAGCTGCTATTATGTTATTTGCTTTAAATATAAACTCCTTCGAACAAATTATAACAAGCAACTTCTATTACTGCTTGCTAGACCCTTTGCTAGTTGATCCTTTCCAGTACAGCAGCTTGGTCGGATAGTTTGTTAACCACTTCTTTACCTATCCATTACATGGTATAACATAATGATAACATCTTTGTCAAATTCTTGGGAATTGTGGTCTTAGTGCCTGATGATTAGCTTGGATTTTTGCTTCAAAACTATGATGTCATTGCAATATTTAATGTTGTCCTTTAGAACTATTTAACATGTAACTTGTTATGTGAATTTTCTAATATAAAGAAGGAGGGATGTACTGTATTGAATCACTCCTGCATTTTCTTCTTTCTGCGACTAGTCATGTATTTTGAATGGTGAACTTTTACAGAGCTGTAAACATGAGAGTTGGGTCACTATCTCAAAGCATTTGATGGATGATCTTCCTGTCCTGTTAAGTTCTGAGAACGTGAAGGGCATAAAAGATGTTCTCTCTTCTGTTCTTTCAAATCTACCTTCAAAGTTTGTTGAATTCATAAAGTGGATAGCAGAAGTTCGAAGGCAAGAGGAGAATGGTCAAAATTTGAGTGACGAGGAGAAAGGAAGGCTAGCTATCAAGGTATGGTATCTGAAGAAATTTAGTAGATAGAAAGAAAAAAAGAAGGCTCCTAGAAATGGTCATATAGATTTGATCAGGTAACCATTTCAGGATAGGTGATTATTTATGAGTTCAGTAACCACTCTTACCTTACTTTGCAGGAAGAGGTATTGAAACAAGTGCAGGACACTCCTCTTTATAAGCATGTCACAAGCATTTTATTTTCAGAAAATTCTGTCTGCCAGTCAAATGCAGCATCAGACAGCAGTTTGGCTAATGTTGCTGCAAGCATTTGCTGCCAAGGAGCAGGTCTTTTTGCAGGAAGATCTGGTTCATCGGATAGGTTTTGCTGTCTACAAACATGTGTTAGATGCTACAGAGCTACCGCGGACAATTCTGCTACAGTGGTGTCTGGGACAGTTGTAAATGGTAATGGGGAGCAGGGGGTTGATGTTCTGGTCCCTACATCTCAAGCAAAGACTAGCTGCTGTCCTTCAGGGCAAGATGGTTGCTCGCCAATGCACCCTGCAAGCAACGATGTGCTGACAGTACTATTGCTGGCATTACCTCCACATACATGGTCTCGAATAAAAGATACGAAGGTCTTGCAGGAAATAGAGAACCTTGTCTCAGCAGAGAACCTGCCTCCTTTGCTGCAAGAAGAGGTATCATTGTACATTTTGTCTCTTATCATATTTGTTTTCTTGTTTTAAAATTCCTCTTTGTTGTTTGTGTGGGTAAGTCCAGAAGAGGAGGGTTGCAGTAGGTTAAGGCCAGCAGAAAGCTACGCAATTTTATGATTAATCTAATAATATTGAAATATTGGAAAGAAAGGAGTCCAAATGGAGTTAAATGGATGTGGAGGATTTATTTAGCGACCCCAACTAGCTTAGGATTGAGGCTTTTGTTTTTGTTGTTGTCATTTTGTATTGGGAAATTCACATAAGCACTTAGAATGGCCTTCATAACTGTATCAGAGCTTTCTGCCTCCTTTATAATTGGTAGTCTTATTATGGCCAAATATAAGATTTTTCCTGCCTAAGATTATCTATTTAACTGCACTACATATTGTATGAAAAATAGTGTGATCCTCTTGAAGCAGGTTATCATATCATTACAGGCTTAACTGATTTTTCATTTCTAGTCAAACTGAAGCAGCATATAACTGATAATCTCATGCATAATGAGACCTAAGGGGCATAACTCTGTCTTCTGCATGTTATTCAGCCGTTTAATGAGTTTGTCTCTCATGCTATGCATCTTTGACCAGTTGACTTAGTTCAATGGTAAGAGTTACGAAATTGAGATGTGTACTGGATTGATGAACTAGTGGATACGCTCTGAGAATGCATTTTGTTTTAATGACTACTATAATCTTTCACTTGGTTAACCATTAAACATGGTGTAATATACTTCTGAATATCCTTTTGGGCGACTGCAGATTTTGCACCTGCGAGGGCAGTTCCTCCTCCTCAAGAAATGCAAGGATAACAAGGTAGAAGAAGATTTAGCTGCACCTCCCTTCTAGCTTTGCTTTCCTAGGTTATTACAAATACATTGTTCTAATGTGAGATTCCAACATTGTACTTTCTCATGACTTAAAATTCACAAAGCGCCGAAGCATCTTAAGCAGCAAACTGCAGATGTCCTACTTCCTTTCATTTTTATAGGTTTAGTAAATCAAGAACCAAAAGGCGTCTCATGGAGCTCGAAATCTCTCTGTGGAGATTCATTTGGTTTTCAGAGATCAAGCGGCTCTTTAAAGAGAAGGCATGCAATGCAATGAAGGAGTGCTAATCTATCCAGGAAAGTTGAGTTCACTGGGTTAGCTGGGTGGGTTCAGATTTACATTTTACTTGCCCAGGACTTCATTGTATGTACCATTTCTTCTACTTATGGTATTATTTTGACAAGGACTGAAGGAATAAATTATTTCTTTTTGGATGTTTGGTTCATTGCATTAAAATTGAGTACATAAAGTATCATCTAAATTATTTGTTTACTTTTTAAACTAAAAAAATAATAAATTTGCAATTATACAGACCCTTGGATATTTGGTCTTCACAGGCTTCTAGAAAAAAGACAAAAGGGTAGTTTTTTCTTCCTTTGGTTCTTTATCCATGTATAGGTTAAACATGGATTTGTTATTTCTTGTCGGCAGTGGGATAAGATAATACACCAATTGGTATATAAAATATTACATGGATTAAATTTCGTGTATGGAAATTAATAACTGCAATCACGAAATAAATGTAAAGAAAAATTCTTTTTTTAATAAAACTTGTGAGTACAACTCTTTGTATCCAAGTGAGATGGTCGAAATTATTATTAATCGCTTTGCCAGCAAAGCTGCCTGTAATACCAACAAACCCAATGTCCCCACGGCGAATTTACGGCACTTGAGGGTTCGGTTGACAAGAGCACAACAAGAGAAGCAAATGAAAAGCTTTCATAAAAATTCTCGTAGAATCGAGAATGAAGTTTTCATTTTGTACATGCCAGATCATGAACTAGTAATTGCTTCCAATTTCCAAAAAAAAATCTCAATTGTATCGAACTTTCCATTTTTGAATAGCTATGGAATCTCCATGAACCGTATTCCATGGTATTCCTAAGGATCCGTAGGATTAATTGTGGATCCAAGACAACAATAGAAAGATTTGAGTCTTAGATTTTGATTTAGTTTTCTAGATTTTGTATTTCAAATCTTGTTTATCTAGGTAAGTATCTTAGATTTGAGATCATAACCAAACAATGTATTAACTATATTTAAAATACCATGATTAATTATCTTATACAACATACCAAACTACTGTACAAATAGAAGATAGCGAAGAAAAATCTTGTTCGTATAATAATTGAAGGGAGCTAAGTTAGTTTGTGCAAATATTGAAAAACTTGTTTGAGGAGTGAAGTAATGAACTTCACACACAAATCTTCAATTTTTCTAAAGTGAGATTTATGTTTTATACACTTTCAAGATTCTGATACTCTTAAATTTTAACTTTAAACACTCTTTTGTTTCAACTTTAAACAAGGACCATTAGTTGGGCAAGTATTTTAATGAATTTGGCCTATAAACAAGGACCATTAGGCAAAATAGGTGCATAGAACAAATCATTCATTAGTGGTGATTGGTACAAGTGGACATATCAAGAGCAATTTGATGGATTTGCTGTTCCTTTTAGCCTTTATTTAGTTGTTATAAAATCTTGATTCATAGTTAGCAAAACAAACTTCTCTTGTTTTGATTACGTAAATATGAAGCAACTGCTATTTTGAGCAAGACTTGAAGATTTTGATTAATTGCTCTTCCACAATTATGTCTAGGTCATATAAGGTCTTCATTAATTCAATTTCTTATAATTTTTCCAAAAAAAGAAAAAAAATTGATCGAGTGATGCTCCCGACGATCATTTACCCAACTCTAGAAGAACGAAATTGTCTTTTGGAATAAGTAATAAGTAAAAACTTGATTACCTCTATTACATATGTGTTCTAAAAAATTAATAAGAGAGAAGCAACCATTGACAAAATTTGTGATCGAGAATGTAACAATTGTATTAAGCTGAAAGACCATTGATGTTTTCTCTATAATTGTGAATCTTCTTTCTTTTTCATATACAATTGCCAACTTTTGGGAAACTTTATGTGTCTTCTCTACTCATTGATTTCACGTGAGGCGAAAGTTGCGTCTCTGACACTATCTTCTTTTCGTTATGTTAAATTGATATCTGATTGAATACGAAATTTCAAATTCTGAAATGCTGATTTAATTTACACATTTTATTAGTATTTAGTTGTGGTGAGATGAAGTAATAAAATTAATTATTTAAAAATTATAGTGACAAAGTAAAATTTTATAACCCAGTAAATTAGACTTGTAAAGTTATATAAACTAATGCTATTGGTGGAATGTTGTCAAACATCATGATACCTGTCAAAATGTAAAGATTTGTTATATAAATTGGAAAGGAAGAAATAATATTTTGAAAAGGGAGTCATACAAAAATCATTACCTTTGTCCTCTTGGGAGGATTTTGACTTTTTTCCTTCTTTCAAAAGATTATAATACGGCCTTCTAACCTAATAACAATAATAACAACCCAGTAGAATCTCACAAGTGAGGTCTGGGGAGGGTAATGTGTACGCAGACTTTATCCCTATCCCGAAGGGTAGAGAAGCTGTTTCCGAAAGACCCTCGGGATGCTTTACTCCTAACCCCACAAGGTTCCGAGACGGAGCTTAACCTGAGTCTCGGTTAAGAACGGCGATGATATACGTTTCACACGGCGCACGATTCCATGGATAGTTTCATTCTAGATCGTGATGGTTCAACTGCATCATGTAAATTCCAAACGTGACATATAGCCAATAGATGGTACTAATAACTACCAAGACGTGAGACGTAGCAGTCTGAATGTGACAGTTTTTTGTTCTAGAAATGACAGCAATATTGAGTGAAGGGAATGTAAATTCCAAATATTAACTTTACAAAAGTGATATGTGGGGTTTCGTTTAACACTAAACGTCATTAGTTTTAGGATAGAACATAACAGACATCTTTGTCCTCTTTCGTGCTTATTAGATTCAGCACATTTGTAGCATCAGAGCTAGTTATTATTGTTAACCGATATTGTGCCCAATGCTACATTGTCCACAAACATGTGGAGTATCGAATTCCACATAGGATGTGGATTACTCTTTTTTTATTGAATAACTCACTATGTTATTGACGAATTCAAATATTATTTGACATTGAGAAATAAAGTAAGGGGTCGACTGAAATCCTAAGCTGGCTCTAAGGTGAAACTGCTGTCAATTGCCATAAACATAAATATTTGATTCCTTTATCGAATTGAATTAATAGTCGATTGAATGAGACTTGATTTCCATGTTAATTTGTTGTACTTGAATAGTTGAATTCAATAACCCAAAAGATGATCAAACTCACATCCTAAGAGTTCATCGCTTTAATACTTTTATTTTGTATACATAGCTACATATGTTAGGATAAAAAAAAAAATAGGTATCATGCAGAAGCTAGTAAAGAAAAATTTAAAAGACAATAAATCATACAACAAAAGAGAAATATATCAAAAGAGACACAAACATTTAACGTGGTTCGAGTAATGGGTATACATCCACACGCGGAGATGAGCAATTCACTATATAAAAGAGAGTGAAAAATATCAAGAGAATAACCTCACAAAAAGGCAAACACAAGTGGCACACTAACACTTGTTCCGAAATTCTCCCCCTAAAAAAGACTCTCAAACCCCATATATATGGCTATATCGTGGATACTACTGAATGAGAAGGAATGATCCTCAATTTATAAAAGTCAAAACTACATTTTCCTACAAGAAAATGGACTAACCAATTATGAGAGATTTATAATTTTTTTCTAAGAAGAAGAAAACTTAATTATAGTAAATATGTTATCTTCTCCTTCAAAAGATAGAAAAATCAAATATGATAAGAAAATCGACACAAACACCTAACAACATAGAGATAGGTACACATAAAGAGTTCCTTGCAACATATAGTGGTAACTCAAATTTTGACTGACATGGTAAGATTATTGGGCCGTCTATTATTTTCTGATTGTAATGTTTGAATTAAAATTGACAACAAAAATGAAATTCGAACTTTTATTGATAATGGCCAACTGTGTTACAACTCAGAAAGTACAATTAAAACTAATGATCTTCAGCTGAAGCTCGAGCTCTAATGGCGGATCACCTGAGAAATAAGAAGTGAGAGAAGAGAAGAGAAGAGAAGAGAAGACGAGAGGGAAAGAGTGAAATGAATTACCAGATTTTTACATAACTGTCTTTGCCTAGCTCCTTGGAATATAAGGCCTAATCTGTTACAACCCACTAACTAACTAACAACCCACTAAATAACTAACAGCCCACTAACCGTCTCATTTAATGATAGATCTGGGCCCTTTATTCATTAAGCTGACTTCTAATCCCAGCCGTCCAATTCAACTAACTATTACAACACGTGTGTTCCTGAGGGTATAATAAGCTGTCGCGTCGCCCTTCTTAGTTCTATCTTTTAAATGTATTGTTCAGCTGACTTTTCAAATCTAAACCCTAATTTCATTCATTTCTCAATTTATAGATAAACCTCTATAGACATAACAATACCCTCCCGTTCAAACCAGCCTTGTCCTTAAGGAAGGATTTGAGCCACAAAGTCAGGAAATTGGCCTTTGATGTACCCTCAATCTTCCCAAGTTGCTTCATCAGCTCCAAGATTCGACCACTGAACAAGAACCTTGACTGCTGCTGCATTATTCACCTTGACGATGCGTCTCTGAAGGATGGCCACTGGTTGAACCAGCAAGTGGCCATCTTTTCCACAGATAGGAGGTTGGAGCTGAGTAGCCACATATGGTCCTATGCGTTCTTGAGTTGAGATACGTGGAACACTAGGTGAATCTGAGAGCCTGTTGGTAGCTCAAAGCGGCAAGCCACTGAACCTATCTTCTGTGTGATTTTATAGGGTCCATAGTATTTAGCACTGAGTTTAAAATTCTTTCTAACTGCCACTGAAGCCTGTATGTAGGGTTGTAGCTTTAAATAGACCCAATCGCCTTCATTTAAATTTGTATATGTCCTTTTTTATCTGCAAAGAACTTCATTCTATCTTGAGCCACCTGTAAATTTTCCTTCAAATGTTGTAGCACAGTTTGCCTGTGAGCTAGTGTAGCCCCTACAGTAGTGTGAGTGGAGTGGGGGTAAGGAACCCATGGGAATCTGAGGGGGTGGTTATCCATAGACAACCTCAAATGGAGTGGTCTTAAGGGATGTGTGGTAGCTAGTGTTGTATCACCACTCAGCTAGTGGAAGCCACTTAAGCCAGTGTTTAGGATTATAGAAAATCATGGCTCTGAGGTATGATTCTTGGAACCTATTAAGCCTCTCTGTTTGACCATCTGACT